CATCATGGGCAAATTGTTTGATCTACATAGTTAATTAATGATAGGTGAATAGACAAAACTGGTGAAAATTGCAGAAATAATAGTTTTAACGATTGAGAGTAACTTACAATGTCATTGCACACGGCTTTGTGCATCTGGTTGGGTAATGAATCATACATTTTCCACTTCCCATCACCTAAATTAACAACCAATAAAACCCAGTGTTGGTTGTTCAGAACAGAAATCATAATGATATCAGCTTTTAGAACTGTTTCTTTAGTGATATGACCCACAAATGATGCGGTGTTGCCCATTTTATGATAAGCATGTATAATAAAACAAAGTTTTAACATATTCATATGGTTGTTGAAATTCTGAATATAATTAAATATGGTTGTTTAGATAAGTAGATGCGGTCTTACCCAATATAGTGGTGATACATAAATGTAAGGCCTAAATAAGGATGGATTTGCATTCCTCTTATTGTTCAAAATCTTCGCTTGGGCGTCGACATGGTCATTTCCAATCATGTCATTGCACAATAACTCTACCATTGCCCAGCGATCTATAAAAATGTCTTTCATGTGCAACATAATATGACTCCTGCATAATAGTAAAAATTCCAAATATAATAAAGAAGTTATTTTCATTCACTTATTCACAAAAGAAGTGCATTATAAAAAACACAGATTTACTCACTCATTGATGTATTTTGCCATGACTTGATCGATCGCCATCTGTGTTTCAGCTCATATCATAGATCTATCAGGATAGTCGATCTAGGGGACAGCTAGAAGAGGCTACAAAAAAAATTATGTTACATCTGAAATACACAGGGAATTTAGATGATATATAAGACAATGTATAAAAAACAAATTTCAAATAACACATTAACAACATCTAGCTGATCTCTTAAAGTTATTAGTGCTATAACAACTGATCCTTCTACTTCTTTCTCTTCAACTCTTTGTTGTTCCTCTACAATGGGGTTCGTATGTACAACAGGAAATACAATTATTTGAAGGCCCGTCTTTGCTACAGGGTATATTATTGGTTCTTTAGTTATTTGTTGTTCTTCTACTATTGGGGTGGTATGTACAACAACATCTTTATCGGGTAACATCGGCTCATCGACTTCCCCTGTTATTTTTCTTCTCTTCAATTTGAAGGCAGTCAAAGGCGAACTCACTGTCTTCTTTATTCTACTCCGTCTGCCCTTAAACTTTTGTATTAAGCTGGTAACAGACCGGTCATAGGTGTCATCAACTTTATCTCCCTCAACAGGGGTTCCTTCTTCTCCAACAAAAGCCGACAACTGGATTCCCTCTTCTCCCACAGAAGTTGAATGATGGGTAACATCAATGTTCTGTTGGGCTCCCATTTCTCTTTCACTATAAACAAAATCATGAGGACTCCAACCATGACAGAAATCATGAGGACTCCCACCATGAGGGGAGGCTGGCTGGGGATCATCTACTCCAATCTCTTCGCCTTTATTAGTTGAAATATTTTCAGATTTATCAAACATATGTTGTAGCACCGAAATTTGCCCTTACAAACTCGACACTTCAACAGTTATTGTATTTAAGGTTCCTTGAAATTTAGTGAATCATTTCTCTTGGCCTTTAAGCAGCTCAATTATTGATTCCAGATTCCTTGCTTTTATTTATCGTGGTATACAGTGGCTCGGCGGCGATGTCCCCTGAATCAACTGGCCCCATATCAAATGATACAGGTGCCTCTGGTCTGCCTTGGACTTGCATCGCTGGAACTGGACCAGGTAATCCTTCATTTGGATTGGATAACAGATTGAGCTTATCCTCTCTTAGATCCAAAAATTTATCATGAATCTACAAGTTATTTCAAAAAGAAAGGCTTTGATCATTATTAGTTTCAAAATAATATAATAATTTAATTGGAAATTAAAAATATATGTAACTTGCCTGATTAGGAGTCAGCCTCTTAAAAGCTATATCAAGTTGGGATGAGCTCAAGCTTACAGTTGTTGGCCACCTCAAAATTCGAGATCTAGCCTTAGGATTGGCATGAGTAACCAAAGAAGTGTGCTTATAAAACTAGAGCTGTGTGAAAGAAAAAGGGCATATTCAGCTTTATACAAGGAAATAAATAACATTTGACTTTAATACGATGTACTTACTGTTAGCAAAAAAAAAACCATTTATATATCCCGAAGGCCGGTTCCGGCTTATTTTGATGGCTACCACATTTATTTGCTCAATAAGATATTCACATAGTGCAGCGGACCAATTAAATGAAGCAAAGGTATGTACAGTCTCTCCAAAGATGTAAAGTCCTTGAATACACTGAAATTACTAGACGAAAAAAATAAATTTGATAACAAATAGTTTATATATAATTGATTAAAAGGGGCAGAAGACTCCCCAGTTCTGAAGTTCAACAGATCAGCCTTCATTTGACGGGCATCAACGCCACAGGATGGAACTTTCTTCCACTTTGGAACTTCTCCTCTATTTGGCATGTCAATCAAAAGAGCAACTTAATCAGGATTTATCCTCAGATCTTTCCCTCCTATTCTGAAAACCATTTTTTCATGTATCCAACATTACAATATTTGAAGTGTGACCACATTGTCTTGGGGATAAGGTGGAAGTGCAAAGAACTGATCAATAGTCAACAGAGCTCATTCCTCATCTCGTCAGATACAACAGGCCTTACCTTATCAAGCGTATCTCTAACTACAGATGACCGACATCTACAACTCATGTACCTTGGGTTCACAAACTTACATCAAACAAAATAATGCAAAAAATATAAGGGGTTAGGTCGAAATGTTTTATTTCGGGATTACTATGGTAATATTTAAGCAATATTATGTGATCTCGTATAGTATTATTTAGGTTATATTATAATATTACTTACATTGTATTCTGGTATTGTAGTATTTAAGTTATATTCTGGTTGTATTTCCGTTGTATTTTGGTATTAATGTAGTACTACTTAAGTTATATTCAGGTATAGTACTTAGTTTATATTATGAAAGTTTTTCCGTTGTATTCTAGTATTAATAGTATTAAGGTTATATTATGGTGTAGTATTAAGGTTATATTCTGGTAGTTTTTCCGTTGTATTCTGATATTATTATAGTATTATTTCTATAATACTCAGGTAATATTTAAGGTAGTCTTAAGTAGTGATTAGTTTTATATTAAAATTAAATAACAGGTTTTATTGCGGTTTAATGTTGTTTTTTTTAGGTAATATTGTGTGCACTTGTGTACAACTCAAAAACAGTAAAATACAACTCATATATTACTCTGAGTGATTTGTTACTCAAGTACAGCTAAAATATTACCCAAATGGCCTTCTCAATGAAGATAGAACCACCAAAATAAAAATTAACTGAATGATCCTCCTGAATTTCCTTCTTCTTTCGCTCTTTCGCTTCCTTTTTCTTGTGTTTCTCTACCTCCATTGTCGATTCCTCTTCGGTTTACATTCTCAAGGGCTCTTCCGTCTCCATTCTCATTGGTCTCTCTTTGATTTCCAACAACAACTCTAAAACCCTAAGTTTTTGTGATTCAAATACCTTAAAAGATCGAATGAAGGTGCTCTGCGCTCTCCTCGCTCGGGAGACGTTTGTGTTTCCGATGAAATCACCTTTTTTCAGGCGCGTTGTTTAACTTTTACGTTTTCGGGTCGGACTCGGACCGGGTCGCACCATAAGAATGCTTTAATTTCATTTTTTTAGTTATGGGGGCCACAGTTCCACGTGTCACCTTTCCATTGGACACCACACACATAGTTGTGTGTGGCGTCCGCACAGAACAAATGCTCCCAGAAATGGAGACCCAGGCGATTGGAGTTTCGGGCTAAAGAACAGGAAATCCACTGGTTAAAAAGTCAACCAACTATACAGCGAAATCGATCAATGAAATAATTCTATCAACATATCATTGACTGACGGATCTCTTGTTGGAATCGATTGGTTTCCTTTGATCAGTCGACCGATCTCCTCGGCAAAATTGATGGATGCAGTAGACCGACAAAACCAACTAAATCAGAGCATCTAGCAATCGAGAGATATTATATTTCTTTCTATTGTAATGTAAATTATATTCGACAAATTCAGTTATTTGGAAGATTATTATAACCGTTG